CAAACCCCCAACTATGGCATTATGCGTGCTCTAGGCAAATGTACAGCTTCCTCTAAACACGACGAAGAAGCAGTTAAACCAACAAAGAAGAAGCATCCAAACCAACAAAGAAGCGACATACTGTACTCGCGCAGCACGAGACAATGGCATAATCTTGTTCAAATAAATGACCAGTCGTCCCAATACAACTCTTGCATAGTAACTCAATTAAATACCCCCGGATGGACACGTGGTATACGAGTCAAGGAGTTTCCTGTCTTTAATTAAATATGTCTCTATATTGACCCGTTTATTTGACTTTTTCATAGTTAGGTCGACTTCTTAAGTGCTATATGTTAAAATAAAATTCCCTAAATTCTGCCTTTTTTCTCCAGCTCCTTATTCTCAATAGTAAAAACACACAAACAAAAAAAGACTAATATAAAATACTTATATCGTGATATACTTTTAGATCATATCGCACAGTCTAATGCTGTACATCTCACAAACACGCCGCCAACACGAAAAGAAGGCCAACTTCAAATTCAACCTTACCCGACCAAATAATATATGGACACCCAGCCATCTCATTACCTCTGCATCCCGCGTCCTAGACGCATAATTTTCCCGCGGGACGCACAGTTCCAAATAATGTGTGTTTTTGGGACGCAAGAAAATTTCCCAGTAAAAACAAAAAAAACTACGGTAAATCTTTTTTTCCAGCAACAATCGCAGTTTGACCATCGCCGCCATTGTTGTTTTGATCTCGCGTGATAAGATTTCCGTTCTCGCGAGACGAGATTGGCGAGATCGGCCTTCACCTCGCGGGAAGCAGACGATTTCCAAGTTGTGTAACGTTAAAACAAGTGTTGCGAAAGTTTATTGCAGAGATATCACAGAGGAAGCAGCTAAAGTTGGATCGTTTTTTGTGATGATAAGTTGAGTTTGAGAAAGCCTTGCATCATTGGAAGCAGAGTAAAGAGAGGAGAATTTATGAACTCAAAGACTGAACCATGGGATGAAATAAGAACCTATTTTTCAGCAACTCTTGTATGCCTGAATTATAAAAAATTTTGCAGCATAAGAAATAAACCTATTATCAATGTATATTGTTGTTGTTTGTGTTATTATCACATGCAATTGAATAAGTAGACCATTTCAGAATTCAAAATTTGGGACTCTAAATGCATAATGGGATTCATACTTTTCTGATCAGCGAGTCCCTGGGACTCGCAGGGCTCAAACTTTAAAATTATCACTGGACACCAATGCCTTGGAATGCCTTTATTTTGAAATTGTTCCTACCAGTGTGTCGTGGCGTTATGGCTGACTTGACTCGTTTTCCAGACTGTGTTTGGGGCTTGAAAAACAACCTGTTGCTACCGACACAACGTTATCCTGAAATAATGTTCAATCAGTAATTAGGGGCGCTATAAAAACGACTTAATTATGCTGATACTGTAGTGTATGGTTCGTGTTGCCAGCGTTTCGTGCTAGCTGCTGGCAAAGCTCAAGGTAAATGACCTCTGCACACTTTGATGACAACCTGACACAGTCGCAGTTCCTACTGATCACTTTTGAACAAACCAGCCTTTCTCAAGTGTAATCACTGCTGTAGTACTGACGTCATTTCATCTCATAGACCAAAATATATGGGTAGAAATGTATCTAAAATGGTGTGCTCCTCTGTAAGGTTAAATTTAAGTACAAAATGTTGAATATCTAAAAATGCAGACCAGTTGATCGTTCATTAGTAAGTGGAAAAGTGTTTTTTTTTTTTTTTTTTTTGCTCAAATACCCGATTATCTGATCGAATTTTCAACACGAAATCCGAATACCAAAATATTTGATAGCTACAGCCCTAGTCTATAGCACGTCTGTTTCACAGTTCTGAGTTTGCGGGTTCAAATCCAGCTCTGGCTTTTCTGTGTGGAGTTCAGATTGTCTCCCAGTGCTTGTGTGGGTTTTCTCCAGGCACTCCCAACTTCCTCCCACATTCCCCAAAAATGTTTCTTCGGTTAATTGAAGACTCCCAACAAGGATCAGAATGGTGACGTCTGTCACTTTTTCATTACATAAAGTCATGTGATCTGTCCGTTCAAACTGAGATAGCATGAACTTATTTGTGTGGGGGGGGGGGGAGTGAGGTGGTGAGATGATGAGAAGGCATGGGATGAAATAGAATGAAAAAGCAAAGCAGAAAAGTGTAGAGGTGGGGCAGACGGGAAGGGAAGAGGACGACACTGAAGTGGAATGTAAGGGGTGGGGCACCTCTGGTATGTCAGCCCTGTACACTGCGTGCATAAGTGGTTGAGTTTGAGTCCAAACACCCTGACATGAGTCAGACAGGCACACATGCGCAGCTGCTTCCACTCTCAGTCACACACGCAGGCAAACTGCTTTCAAACTATTGCCGCTCACTCTTTAATGTTCTTCTTAACGACAACCCCGTTTTGTGCAATGTACGTATGTCGGCACCACAGAAGTCAGATTAGTTTATTCTCTCTAAGCAACAACATCGCAAAGCGCAAACACGCGAAAGAGATTCTATGATGCGTCAGTCAGCCTTTCAATTAAAATGTTTCTTTATCAGTGGAACATTTTTACATTCTTAACTGTCCATCCATCCATCATTTTCCTTAAAGGTATAAAAACAAGTTCACCACGATAATGTAAGCATTAAAGCACAACAAAAAAAAAAAGCAACACGCTACCTACAAGTCACTCTGCGTATTGTGATGCTGGGGACTAACTGCGTTCTTCTCTTATGTTCTTCTTCTATTGGCACCTCATTTGATGCTTCACCACCTTTTGAAATAGGTGTTGTTTTAAAAAAGGTCTCCATAAAAACAAAGAAATAGCATGACGCTCAACTTTGCTGAGCTGAAGACCTGTGAGGTACACCGAGATCCTGCGCAATCATTTCCCGTGTGACGTCATACGTGACGTCGGCTTGAATAGGTATTACAAAAGCGAGTGGAAAAGCAAAACACAGTCAGAATGAATCCTTTTGTAAACGCTTTCCGTACCGAGGTTTTGTAAGGTAGGTGGAGGTTTTGAGCCAATTGAATACGGCACACACCCACAACAGTTAATTTAGTGTCACGTCAGGGGCATCCCAACCCCAGTATTTGACACAGTTATTGTTGTGGTCGAGAACTGCTAGCATTGTACGAAGAGTGAATATATCTGTGCCCTTATTTATCTGCACTTGAGACAAGCATACACCCTGAAACTAGCACTACCATTGAATAAGCCTTGAATAGAAAGTTGTCACTCAGCAGGGCGTTTACAAGTGCCTCAGTCCTCTCTGGTGGTACCCTGCTACGAATGGCCTTAAAGTCTCAAGAGAGTGTTCTGACTTCTTGATATATCCAGTACATTAGAACATAAGTTTCAAGTGGAGTCATTATTTCGGTGAGCTGTCTGTTTTGGGTGAACTTGTGTTCATGAATGAAGCCTCAGTTCTATGAAAAGCATAGTCATTTCTTGCGCACGTGTGATCTGATCACCCCCTTGTTGACCTAAGCAGCATGCAGCAGCCAGCATGGTAAGGCGAAATGATTTTTCTCATGTTGCCTGCTGGATACACTTGCCGTGTGTAATGTTGCTCATTCTGCTCCTACCTTTGACTCCACCTTCTTTTCCTCCTCCTCTTCCTTCATACCCCAAAGCCACCCCCTCCACCATTTCGGTCGTTCTTTGTCATCTCTTTGGGTGAATTCCCAGCTGAATTTGTTTGTCATGGCAACCAACCAGTCATGGCGACTGGGCTTGCAGCTCACACTTCCTGTGTGTGTGTGCGCGCGTGTGTGTGTGTGTGTGTGTGTGTGTGTGTGTGTGTGTGTGTGTGTGTGTGTGTGTGTGTGTGTGTGTGTGTATAGCGGCTGGCTCTATGAGCCTGTCAGCCTGGATTAGAATCAAACATACTGCAGTGATGCCTGTATTCACCCTTTCAGTGTTGTTTGTCTCATTTTTTTTTCTGCTCTTCTCCAATCAGATAGGAAAAGTATTTCAAACCGCTGGAATAGTTGCACTTTTTAATATACTGTGTCTCTGTCTTGTGTCTGTGGCGGTATGTCTTGCACACTGAGCGGCTCTGTGCTGTATTCACATAGTGGGAGGGTGGAAGGGGTTTGGCTTCAAATGTGGCCTATGGTCTTGTACTACAGCAGGCAACGCTGCTATTACATAACGCGCGTGTGTGTGTGTGTGTGTGTGTGTGTGTGTGTGTGTGTGTGTGTGTGTGTGTTTGTGCATGCATGCACGTGTGTGTATGTGTTGGGCCCCAGTTTGTAGCAAAAAGGCTCCTATTCTATCTGCTCTTTGGTTTAAATGCTTGCTTTAATCAAACTACTGTTGCAATAACCCCACTGCTTTAAAACAGCCTCATGAAACACTGTACAGTGGTGCCTTGACATGCGAGTGGAAGTAGTTCTGTGACTACACTGTTAACTCAAAATGCTCATATCTCAAATCGTCTTTCCCCATTGAAATGAATGGAAATGCCATTAATCTGTTCCAGCCCAAACCCACCAAAAAATCTCTATCTATCTATCTATCTATCTATCTATCTATCTATCTATCTATCTGTCTGTCTGTCTGTCTGTCTGTCTGTCTGTCTGAACATGTGAAGAAAATGCCACATTTACATTACTGTCAACTTCATTCACATTGGAAAATGACAACAAGAATTTGAGCAGTATGATATTGAATCGAGTCGTAATCGTACTGAATCAAACTGAAGTGGATAATTTCCCCTTCACGGAACTGTCCATGCATCGGGATAATTGAATCGTCTTTAATTGGAGAGATGTACACCTCTATTAGCTATACATACTACATTAATTAATGACATTTGTGGTTCCTTTGTATGTCTATAAAAAAATAAAATTGGGGGACCATTGGATTTGGTTGATGAATTTCACACTTGATAGTTGGGCAGGAACTCCTGATATTTGCAAAGCAATTTAAAAGTGAACTTTCCATAATTTGCCTTTTTTTTTCTCTTTGCGTTCCAGATTTATGTTCAGTAAAGGTGCCAAGCGAAAACTGGATGAGGATGAAGAGGTGCTGGAAGGCAAAACGCTGGAGGCGTCGGCGGCAGGAGGAGGATTCGGCCTGGGCCACGAGGGCCTGTCCAAGGTGTCGTACACCCTTCAGAGGCAGACCATCTTCAACATCTCACTAATGAAGCTGTACAGCCAGCGGCCACTGAACGAGCCCAGCCTGGAGCGTCGCGTCCTCATCAACAACATGTTGCGGCGTATCCAGGACGAACTGAAGCAGGAAGGCTCCTTGCGGCCATTGCTTCTGCCGCCGTCGCCGCCGCCCGACGATCCAATGGACGAGGGCTTCCGTGAGGCCCCGCCCACATTTGGAGTTCTGTCAGCAGCGGTGACGGCCCAGGTGTCCCCACCTTCCGCGTTGTTGATGCCTATGATCATTCCTCCACCTTCGCCACACCCGTCTGTGCCCCCCGCCTGCCCGCCTCCGTTGGATGTCTGCCTCACGCCAGCGTCTTTGCTGGAGGACGACAGCGCGGATTCTTCCTTCTGCACGTCATCTCCGCCCACTCCCCCTCTCTCACCTCCCCCGTTACAAAGTCAGACGTCCGCCGCCATCTCTCCGCCTCCTGCCTCGTCCAGTGACGTGAGTGACATGGCTTTACGTCCTTCTACAGCCATAAACAGGACCGCAGCAGCCAATTCAATGACAGTAACTACCTCCCTCACTCCCACCACACTCACCCACGCCTCCCACTTGACGGCCTCGTCCCCTGCATCCTTGGGCCCGGCAAAGGACTGCAGAACGTCGGGCTCGAAAACCGAAGCAGCTTGTGTCTCCTTAGCAGAAGGCTGCTGTGCCGAGCTTCGACCGATGGATGCCCTGCCCGCAGTGGCCCCCGTTGCCCCCCTTGACCTTTACCCCTCTCATTCCCCCCATTCCACACCCTCTGGGTTCCTCACCGACCTGGCGCTGGACGACGTCCTCTTCGCCGACATCGACACGTCCATGTACGATTTTGATCCCTGCGTGACGGCGGGGGTGGTTAGCGTGTCGGCCGGCACCAGCCTCACCAAAATGTCCCCGGTGGTGACGGCGGATGACCTCCTTAAATCCCTAACGGCTCCGTACAGTAGCCCCACCCCACAGGTTTCAGCCAATCAGCCTTTTAAAATTGATCTGACAGAACTTGATCACATCATGGAAGTGTTGGTTGGTTCATGACAAGCAGGCGCCCCCCACCTTTTACAAACAGACACTGCAATCTAGACAAGAGACTGAAATGAATATTTCGACAGATCTGGGATTTGTTTTTCTGCTTGTTTTTCATTTTGTGGTTTTAAAGTTTGCAATTTTAATTTTCCTACTACTACTAGTACTACTACTACTACTACTACTTCTACACTGTGCATGGACTGTCCTCACCTTTCCAAACACAGAAATGAAATTATTGGGAAGCAAATATAGAAATCAGTTTACATTTTGATGCTGGTGAGGACCTCCAAGGAATTCATTTGCTCAGATGAACATAAGTCTAGTTTTAACCTGGAACATTGACCTTAGCCATAGTCCTCAACGTGTCGCTTTTTTTTTTTTTTTTAGCAGACAATCCTAAGAGGGTCCTCACCAGTACAGAAATTTATGGAGAAACACACTCACACAGACACGCTGACAAACACACACACACACACACACACACACACACACACACACACACACACACACACTGAATGTGTGTCTTTTAGGAGATGAGTGCCTTCCAAAAAACATGACCACTTATTCAATTCTTGTTTTTTTTCCATTTCCTCTAAGTTGTTGTTTTGTCATATTTTTTAATTTATTAAATTTACTGTTCACTTAGTGAGTAATGTCCTCATGATCAAATAATAATAATTTCATTGTCTTTTATTACAGATGCCTTCATGTTGAAAACCCATCTTTCTCTCAGAAGGAAATAGTCCGCCACTCATTAATCATTCTTTGGTAATATTTCTGACACTCTTCAGAGCGGGTGATTCGATGTTGATCTCAGTTCAGGTCTGGCTTTACAAACCTGCTGGTGCAAAGCGGTGTGAGATGCTATTTTCTACGGGCTTTTTTTTTTTTTTTTTTTAAATGCCGGGCAGAATTCTGATCCAATACAGAGTCGATAGACTTTGTTGTGTTTACATTAGAAACGGTTGCGGAATCTTGTGCTCCGGTCAGGTGGACAAGTGTCTAAAGTCCAACTGAAACAGAGACATGCACAAGAATTGTAAACAAATCAGCTATCACATATCGCAGGCAAAGCCATGGTGGCACTTTGGTGACGCAATTATTTTCTTAAAATTGTATGAAGACAAATGCGTAAGTGTATTTCTAGCAATGCCTTCTTTTGTTTGTTTGTTTGTTTGTTTGTTTTTTGTTACAGCCGATTTAGTAAGTTGAGTGACAGGCAAATTACAGCAAGGCATACAGTATTACACAAAGCCCATTTGCACAAACCGTATGGTTCAGAATAGAAGCTCATATTTACTAAATCTCAGGGTTTTACTCACTATTGTGCAGCACTGTCATGAGGTTTACCCCAAACACCCTAGATGTTTATAAACATACTCAATTCCTGGAGGGCTAAATCTGCCCAGTAATCACTTTCAAACTGATACTTCCAGTTGTTGCACAGTTGTGGCCGTAAAGCGTTTTGTCTCACACGAAAAAAAAAATAAAATTATTACAACTTTGCCAATGTCGGTGTCACATATTAAGCCAAAATGTGCACCGATTCTATAGTACCGTATTTCCTTAAATAGTGGTCTTCACTCTTAACCGATCCCTGAATAGATCCTCCTTTCCCCTCCCCTCTCAGAAAAAAATTCCTTATGCATCTACTGCATTAGTACAATTCATACAAAAGTGTGCTGCAGTTGGCTTGCATCTAGTCCAAGGGTGCCCCCCATCGCTTCCCCAAAATCAGCTGGGAAAGGCTTCGACCCCTATGACCTTAATGAGTAAAAGCAGTATACACTGTGAAAAAAAAACAACCTATAGAATCTACCCAATAAATGACGCAATTTACAGCCACTATAAGTGGGTCAATTTTAATCAGATATTTTAGATAAAGGGCGGCCCGGTGGTCGACTGGTTAGTGCGTCGGCCTCACGGTGCACAGGTGCAGGGTTCGATTCTGGCTTCAGCCTTCCTGTGTGGAGTTTGCATGTTCTCCCCGTGCCTGCGTGGGTTTTCCCCAGGGGCTCCGGTTTCCTCCCACATTCAAAAAACATGCGTGGCAGGTTAAATGGAACACTCTAAATTGTCCCGAGGTGTGAGTGTGAGTACCCTAATGCAAAAGCTATGAAATAAATTGAGTAAAGTTTCCCTCACCTTTATTACATTCTGCAATAAAATTACTCATAAAAAAATTGAGGTAAAAATGTTGGTGATGTGTAGTAATAATTTTACTATCAACAACTAATTATTACTCAAAATTAATTAATATGAGTAAAATGGTGAATGGACTTTTACTCACAATTGAAAGCTCTTTGACAGTCTTCTCATTCACCCAACTGATGACATAGTATCGAGAGAAACCGGGGGCTCGGTTTCTTGCTCAAGGGCACAACGACATGGTCACAAGTGTTGAGGATTGAACCCACAACCTTTGGGTTGGGAGTCAACCACGTGACCATGGCGCGGATAGCCTAGCACGTTGCGTGATTATATTGCAGTAAATATAAGACTGTAACCAGATGTGAGGTAAACTTTACTCAATGTATGTATTTTGTATAGCTTTATTGAGTAGATTCTATAGTTGTTTGTTTTTTTAAGTGTAGGGATATTTTACTACATTTTTCTAGGTCTAACCTTTATTTTATAATTGCTTTTTTACCTAAAATAATCAGGGAAATGTTACATGATTTTCATATTTATCACTCCAATCATTTTTACAGTGTCGGATATTGATAGATGCCTGGTCCCCCCCCGCAGTTGAGAACATAAATATCCCTGACCACTATGTGAGGAAATAAGGTATTTTCCTGTTTATCATGTGTATGTAGCAAACAAACAAACAAAAAAAAAATCTTTTAATCGGCCACTTTGGCTGTGTTCATATCTGTACTTTTTTTCCTATTTTTTCCAGTTTGCTTAGCGTTCACATTGGGGTAGTCGTAACTGACCAAAAGGTGGCCAGTCTACATTAGACGCATAAAGTCACAACTGCGTTTCTGATGTCTCATTGGACAGAAGTCCAAATTTTCCTTTCAAAATACCTTTCAAGTCTGGCCGGTCGGTTTGTTTTGGCGCACACCGGGGAGCGGATAAAGGCCGTTCACACTTGACCAAATGAAGCGCACAGTTGGAGCAATCGCACCTGTGTTCGTTGTAACCAAGCCAAGCAGCATCACAAAATTCAAAACTGCCTTAACTCAGATGCATTTTTTGAAATAGGCAGCTACCAAGATTTGGTTTGTTGTTTGATTTCATACTTGACGAGCGGTAAGGCACACAAGAGAGCCTCTTTGTGGACACAAGCAATCCAGTTTCCATAATATCTTCTCTTTCAAGCTCATACTTGCTCTCATCCGATATTGGTTGCACTCCCAACATTCACAATACATCAATTTGTCATCTTGGTCTTGTCCATGGTCACGACTCAATGAACTATTTTTCTGTAGTTGTCCCCCCCGGCAAGCAGCCAAGTCGCTGCCATGTTTTTAGCGTGTGGCCCAGCTCGTTTGCCTAAAGAAGAGCAACACTTAGCAATTGGCGAATACTCAATTTCCCTTGTGCAATATATACCTAATAATTATTTGCTAGGGTATTGCTATAAAACGCAACGATAAATGCCGCTTTGATATTTGTACCCTTTTGATTTCTCTCCCATTGCGCTTTAGTGTATCAGCTGATGAGAAGAAGTCAAGGTTGTCAAGGGAGCTGCCGACACGATATGCTCAGTTTACTGCGCTAGCCAAAAGTGAAAGGTGTTCAAGTAACTTTCCCAGTCTGCCTTTGACCCCTCGCAGTACCATCAGCACCGCTTCTCATTTTTTACACAACTGCATCAGGTTTCTGTCCCTATGTTTTAAGTTTGTTTGTGGTGTTTTTCTCTGTCGAATGAAGTTATTTATTCTTTTTTTTTTCCTGCTCTGTGTAAATATATTTATTTTAATTTGAAGTGAACTTTTGGATTGTAAATAAGTATGAGATTGTGTAGTCAGAATGTACTCCGCTCCAGATAGGATTGTATCTGAGCGTGGAATTAGCATGGACTTTTGTATACAGGGGTCTTTTTGGTTCCTTTTTTGTATGTCTTTTATACTCTTCTGTTGACTGTTTTCCAACTGAACTGTTTATGCAGCAATACGCAAAAAAAAAACTAAACAAAACAAGAACCCACCTGCAAGATATCAATATTCCAAAGCTTGTCATAGATGCCTCAATGCCAAATGTGTACATAGGATGAATGACAAATGAGCTCCTGGGACTTCACGGATCAGTTTTCCTTACTGAATTTGTTCAGCACTGTGCAAGCATGTGACACAGCACTACTTCCTGGGATCGACTGACCGGAGTCAAGGCTGAGTTCCTCCAAAGGCTGTATTTTTCACAGACCTTCGAGTTGTGCCTTGTTCTATTCAATGGAACACAAAACCCTCTTTCTCTTTGTCTCTCTCTGTCTCTGTCTCTGTCTCTCTCTCTCTCTCTCTCTCTCTGTTTGTAAGAGAAAAAAATATATATATATGAGATAAACTGACTGCTGACTATGAATTTAAAAGTCTTACTTTTGTAGTTTTATAAATATGAATATAAACATACATACACACAAACACACACACACACACACATATACAATAAACTGTAAAAGAACACGACTTGTGGATTTCTTTTAAAAACTGGAATCAATCTAGCCACTGAGGCACATTCCCACCTCAGCTGTGCACACCTGTCACCTTAATTCATCCATCAATCCATCAATTTTCTATGCTTCGTAATCTGCGCACAGAGAGGCGGACAACCTTTCACCAGCCCATTCACACGGCTACTGTGTGGCAACTAAAGCAGTGCTAGTTGCATCGCAGTAAACCACTAAAACCAGTACATCCACCATCATTCGATGAAAGCAGTTACATACATACATACAGTATACATGAGAGTACTGTATAGAAGGGTTCCCATGGGTCCTTAAAGTTCATCAAAATCCATAAAAAATACGTAAAATTATGTTCTTAATTGTCCTTAATTTTCAGGGAAAGCCTCAAAAATCAATAAAAATCCTTAATATTTTTTTAAAATTCAGTTTTAGATTTCCTAAATTTAATTTTTTCTTCATGTACTTTATTTGAGAATCAATTCAAGTTTTTTTCATTTTCCTGCCTGTATTACAGGTAGGAAAATGAAATTTTGACAAAGTATCTCAAATAAAGGGTTAGCTCGGGTCGGGAACCTTTTTGACTAAGAGAGCCATAAAAGCAAAATATTTGGAAATGTATTTCAGTGAGAGCCATATATGTAAATGTCAGTATAATAAGCCTCTGAATGTATTTTTTAAAATAATTTTGTGATAATACTTACCATTAATGTGAATGGTTTTCCGTTCCTCACGATTGCCTAAAAATCCAGCAAAACTATCGGAATGCCGGGTCCATACGCGAAGTTACTGCTGGCTAGCTTTCACACTGCTCAGTAGCTTGCTCGCTTCCTTGCGGCTATCTCTCGCACAGTGTTTTGATGCGAACGTAGCATGGGGCGTGTCAAAGTGCCGCTCTGCATTCGACCGTTCCATCGATGGTATTTTGACATTGCAAATCAGACACACCGCAGAACCCGTTCTCTCCACAAAGGCGAATCCTTCGGTCCATTCGTCCTGAAGTCTACCAAACTCGTCATCTTTTTTCTTTTCGCCATCTTATTCGCTAAGAATTAGCTTTGAGCTCATGGCTGAGCGGGTTGATTCAAAAGGGGGCGTATACCTGTTTCCACAGCAACGGCAACGTTGGCCAGTATCATCCAATCAAAATGGCTCCTGGAGCCAACTGCAGCCCAAACAGGAAATAAGCAGTGAAAAATCCATCGATGGATGCATTAATAAACAAACGAGAATATTTTTTTTTATCTGCGAGCCAGATGCAATCATCAAAAGAGCCATATATGGCTCGCGAGCCATAGGTTCCCGCCCCCTGGGTTAGCTGATTGCCCCTGAAAATAAAGATGTGCCCTTCCTTTGGCAGCAATGATTTGAACACCGGCTCAGTGATATGTGGCTTTCTGTTCAGTCCACATATTAAATCCACCGTGAATCCCCTGCTGAATGGAGAAAAAGTCCTTAAAATGGCTAAATTAGCCCTCAAAAGCCCTTAAAAGGTCCATAAATAAAAAGCAAGTGGAAGAGTGGGAACCCTGTGACCGAACCTCAGAACTGTGAGGCCGACATGCCAACCACGAGGCCTTCTTGTACTTGAATGACTTTGCATACCTCTTGATGCCATGTGACATTTCCATTTTGACAGGTTTCACTTTCGTCACCATTAAAAATAAACAATGTAAATGGGCCTTTCACCTTTTCTACCTTAGGTAGTCAGAGCGCCTGAATGCTTTTTGCTCATGTACCAATTAATTATGCAGTATCAGGAGCAACTGGCGGTTCAGTATCTTTCTCAATGACACTGCGACGTGGTCACAATGGTTCAGGATCACTCACAACCTTTGGATTGGGAGATGCCCACTCTTCCATTGAGCCATCCTCTCCTTTCTCTTGCGGTTGGAGCCAATGACGTTGGCGCCCAAATTCAACTCTCTTACATTGCTGTTGGACATTGTGAGCAATACAATCTATTCTCGACACCATTGGGTGTTGCGATGCAGCATCACAAGAATTAGTGAATTCAATGTGGACATTGAACGTCATCAAAAGTTATTTTTGTACCACGTCTGTCACAGTTCTGCTCCATTGTTGAACTGTGTGCTCTCTCGATGACTTTCCACTGACCCCACCACTGCTACATTCATATTCTCCCCCGTGACTGCCTGACTCCAGTTTTAATGT